TCAGTAGTTTTCCACACAGCAAAAAACTAAATCAACCGTGCTCTCAGTACATTATTATTAGTAGTAGTACTAGTAGTAATAATAGTAGTATTAGTAGTGGCCGCTCGAGATAGAGGATTACTGTGTGGAGTTGTATTTGGATAAGAAAGGGCAAGAAGTGAAGTTCTTGGAGACTATGCAGGAAAGACAAATAGCTAACTCTAGACTAGAAGAGATCAAAATTTAATTAGTGAATAACATTTCAGAGTTTAGTCGGAGACGTTAGAAGTATTGTGTGGAAGTAGATCCTAAACAGAAAACAAGGAATAAACCTCTACACCTTTTCAAAAGATTGATTGATTTGTTTGTTTAACGGCACATCAACTCCTTATGGGTCATTTAATGCTGAAATTTAATTTTCTTGGGAGCTTTGAAGTAATAAAAATGTTATTCTGCTTTCACAATTGAATACATGGTAGATGATACTCAGCTTTTGTACATATACATGTTTGTGGGGACATAGTTTAGAGGTGATGATGTGTTTTATATTGCAGTTTTGTTAAAGTTATATTTTGAAATATAGTTTGTTTTGGTGTTTTTTTTTAATATGTCGTATATTATATGGCTTAATTTCACGAAAGAGTTCTTTCATAGTGGGTTGGTTGATTTTCTTTAGCGGTAGATCTACCTCTATGGTTTATTTAATGCTGAAACGTAAATAAGTTGAACAATTTTATGGCTTCAACTAAATATATTTTGAAGGCAATTAAGTGTATTGCTGATCATGTTGCTTTGAAAATGTATTGCTGCTAATTATGCTATAAATACGTATTGTTACTATTTTTACATCAAATGTATTGCAGATAATTTTACTATAAAAATGCATTTTTATCCGTTCGTTACTTTGCTTGGGGTCTTACTATTTGTCCATAGTTTGGACTCTAACAGGTGCTCCTAACCCAGGCCAGAGTGGATCTAGGGACAACAGTAATAAGAGATGGTTCCACACTCCTCAAAAGACGTTCTAATTCGAGACATCTGGTGAAAATTGTAATGGTAATATAAGCCGTTGCCTTATAAGGAAACATTCGGCTCTCATTGAAAGAGCAGCCAGTGTTATGCTTGTTACACTTTCCTTCACTCATTGGCCGTCAGGCTGGGGTGAAAGTGTAGTATCTGTTTTCCTCATCCGTAATGATAATGGTAATATAAGCCGTTCTCTTACAAGGAAACATTCGGCTTTCATTAACTTAGACGTCAACGCTACTGTCGGATGAAATTTATACAACCTTTCTTTTTTTTTTTCAGGAAAATAGGTTTCTCAGGTACAGTAACATTGCTTTTTCTATGATTGATAAGGGAGTTCTTTCTTAACCTTATGTTTAAGGTTGTGTAAAGCGCTATCATCTTTATTATGCCATCATTTTCTCTTTGATTTGCAAGTGCTATCCATTTTAGTTCTTACTGCTGTCGAAAATCTTCACATGACAGCGCTTCTGATATTTGGTAAATTTCTTTGCGATTTTGTAGCATCAGTTCACAAGGTTCGATGAAGGTTGATCCTCCTGACCAAACATCTCGGCTTCAGTCCCTTTCTCACCACTGTAACTTAGCTTCCCTGTGCCTTTTATATAAATATTTTCATGGTAAATGATCTGATGAATTTTCTGCTGTGGTATCGAGACTTTATGAATTTAAGCGCAGTACTAAATTAGCGTCAAAGTCTCATCATTTTACACTTGAAATGCATAATCATAAGTTCTATGGTAACAGTTTTTTTTTTTTTTTTTTTTTGCACTTCAAAATTGTGGAACTCTCTTCCGGTTTCCAATCAATTTTAATCTTCCAAAGTTTAAATGCATTATCATCAACCGTTATCTTCTGTCTTCTTAATTGTTGTTTTTTTTAATTGTCCTCTCTCCTAAATGTGTTTTTATCATATTATCTAACACTCAGTAACACCTGGAGTCTTAGTACCTTTATTGGAATGTCTGGGGTTATTTTATTATTGAGTCTTTTTCTACAGCTTACCAACTCTTTAAAGGTGATCTAAAACCAGAAAATATTTTTAAATTGTAAGATTCCTTTTTTTAGAAATGATGATTTAGTGATTCAAGTTTTACGAATTAACCCATGCATTGCTTGGTTTGAAATGATTAAGATATATATATATATATATATATATATATATATATATATATATATATATATATATATATATATATATATATAAGGGTTGCTGAAAATCTTCGACTCGATAAAGAAGCCCTTTTCCTAAAAAAAAATATCAGATATTTGATCACAGTTTGATAAGTGGATGCGGCCAAGATATTTTCAGCGCCTCCTTGTATAGACAAGATGTTGAAAAGTCGACTAACAATGGATACAGAGACAGGCTTCCTGGTTGGGTATGAAGAGACAATGAACAAAAGATTGACATACGGAAAAGGATGAGAAGCCAAATACAAAATCAATGCATTAGAATTGTTCATGGGGAGATCGAGAAAAAAACAAAAAAGAGAATACAATCGAGAATGTTTGGCAGTTCTCCTCTCTTTTTCCCATATGAAATTAATTTGTATTAATTTGTATTGAGATAAAAAGAAAGAAAACATCTCTGAGCAAACAAGTTTGGAAGGATTAAGGGAGTAAATAAGAAGATACAGGCCAAGGGTGGCATGAGATAATGGATTATAGAATTTCTATGAGTGCGGTTAGTTTATATAATTTAAGTTTCATTATTCTTTTTTGTCCATTTAATTGAATTTTTAAATAAATTATGCAGTTTGACTTCATTAAATGAACACAAAACTTTAAGGCTGCTAAATTATGGTGACCTTTGATTGTTAAAAAATTTTAAGCGAAAAAGACGAAACAGAAAGTTTATGAACTGTTGGATTGTTTTTTTCTTTTGTTTTTTTTGGGGGGGTTTCGGAAATGTAAAAAAAAAAAAGGTCATTACTCTGCAGATATGGTTGGGTCTGAGTCAAGCAAATGAGATTTACCCAAGGGCAAAGGTTAAATCTTTAGCGAACTTAGCGTTGGACATAATTCTAAAAGGTCATGAAAGAAAGCGTAATGGCCTTGTCTGTCTCCCATACAGACTTGTTAACAATGTTTTTATCTGTATTAAATAACACATTAAGTGGATTCATATTTCTAGCCGAAATAATATCTGGATCAACGTTGATAATAGACGTACCTCTTTTTACAAGAAGAAACGGCTCTTTTCAACTTGCAAAAAGTTTCTGCCTGACTTTCCATAGTCAGCAATAAGGCTTTGAAAAGTTTATTTAACCAAAGATTTACATTATTTTTATTGTAAAATAAAGAGTCAGACATGCTTTCACCTTGCACCGTTGTAAAAATTCCTAATGTTGTCTTGAATGCTATTTTAAGCGGTTCAGACAAAATGGGAAATTTCGTTAGAAACAAAGACAAGAGTCCTTTACTGCGATTTAATATCAGTCCTCCAACGAATGCTGAACAATTTCCTCACAACTGATCAGGAGATTTAATCAAGAAAAATCTTTTTCTACAGATTGATATTGGGAATGCCATGTATTAAGCCTGTATGCAGCAAGACAGCCTGAAGAGCTATACGTTGCAAGCCGTCTTATCAGTTCTTTATTCTTAACCATTTCATTATCAATCTTGCCGACTGGACCCAGAACTTTCACCAATCACCACGAATGGATGTTTCCTCAGATAAACCCTATGCCTTGAGCACCTATCGGGACATAAATTCAGACAAGACCTCAAGTGGGACTCGTTCATACAATCCATTGGTGCAAGTAAGATGGTCGGCTCCCTGTACCGCACTAGCAAGTTACTCATTCCTCCTGCTATCTTCTACTTTTACAAGAGCCAGATTAGGCCAAATGTGAAGTATTACTACCATATATGGGCAAAACCGTCTCCGGGTCCTTGTAAGTAACGAATTATTTTTCACCCTAACTATTTCAGAGACGAGACGGCGGACGTCTCTCGCTGCTCTGTCGTTATTTCCATAGAGAGTGTTCAGATGAACTACATTCCTTAGTTCCACCAGTTCTAGCCTTCATGTCTAAAAAGATCCTTCATGTCACGCACATTGTAGCGAGCAGCCTGCATTCCCTTCGTACTGACCAGGTGATGTGTAAGTTCCACTCAAACAGCTTCTTCCCATGAAACACTGCCTTGTCGAACCGACTCCTAATAGGCTGCTTCTCGATCATTACAATCTTAAGCTGTCTAGTGGTAACCGTTATCTTCTCCATATATCCGCATAAGCTGGCCCTCTTAATCTATATCACTCTACCTCGAGTTGCTATCGAGCCTTCTACAGGGTGAACATCACTGTGAAAAACTATGACTAAAAATTATTGAACTATGCCTGTCTAAAGGCAACAAGTATGGGGCTCTCCGTGAGAATCAAACTCACTACAGTAGTTATAGTTTGTGAGTCTAGCTTGGTAACCATTACTCTACAGTGGAGCGTACAATTTATTGTATTTAAATCCTGTTGACTGACCTATGGAGAATAGGGGCACAGCTTCACGACACTTATTATTACAGCTATGGTATCTTTAGAAAGTAGGATTTTATAAGGTAGAGTTGGTAGCCCCACATTCAACCTGTTTGAATTCGGAGTTGTTTTCTCATAGACTGGATGCCAACCAAAGCTAGAGCGTACAGTCTGCTCTGTTATTAATCCTTAGCTTGGAGTGGCGGCAAGAAGAGATGGTTAGTTGTGCTAAAGCGAACGCAAAGCCTCGGGTGGGATATGAACCTGACACGCTAATTTCACATGATCACCGCGACATTAACGCACGACAAATAAACAACAAATCATGTGTTACAGATTTACAGTTTTAGATCGATAGCGATCTGAAAATGAGTTCATTTATTAGGCTGAAAAAAAAAACATGCCACATAGCCTTGAGTTGAAATAAAAATATACACAGATCTTATTATCTTGAGATGGTAAAGTGTGCAAACCACGTGTCTACTTAAATTGATAAAAAGTTAGCACTTTATACATGTCTCTCTTTCTCTTTCTCTCTCTCTCTCTCTCTCTCTATCTCTCTCTCTCTCTCTCTCTCTCTCTATCTCTCTCTCTGTGGTGGGGGTGTTTCTATGTGCTCCTTTGCTTCCACGTATGCATTTTATGTTCCGTTGTCTACGTGTCTGCGGTCGTGGATATAATTATGAATCTGATCTTTAAAATTTATCGGGTACCCAAAGAAAAAATGCGTAGCGACATGTAAGTGTGTATCGTGGTTGCCTGATAAACTTTTAATCTAATCTAGTTATGTTAGCAAATAGACAAACACGAAAGCATATACAAAATTCGCTTACACTGACGAGAGCTGCGTCCATTTCTTCTTTATGTACCATGTACCGTCAGGATGTAGACGATCACGGCTCACCACAATTCCATGTCCTTTGTAGCTGTTAATAAATTGTGTGTTTTTGTTATTGCTCCTAAACCTTGTTTTGCCATTCATTTACTCAAGCTCACTAAGTAGGTTTTGCTTTGTTTTCCTCTGTCCCTCTTGCTTGCAATCTGCTTTGTGAGTATCACAAGCTCATATTCCTCGTGATATGCCCACAACTCTAGTAGTTGTAGATGCGGGTTTTGCGTATGATTATAACTCGCGATAAATATTCGATTGTGTTCATGTCGTGCAGACATAATGGATACACTATGCATCGGAAAACTGTAGGGTGTTCCTCAAACTAATTCTGGTTAATTAAAGCTCAATGGAGTGGAAGGTTACCCTGCTGGAATAAACCATTGTTTTTAGGTTACATGGAATTCATGAATGGGTGTAAATGGCCATGAATCAGTGTCGTGTAGCGCTCAACGTCCAGTGACGTGCTTAAGTAGACCCACAGATTCAACCCATAAACACGCCCCATACCATTTTGAAACCGTCACCAACTTGCATGGCGCTTTGTTGTCTACGGGAGTGTGTCACCTTATGGAGTGTACGCCACACCAGAACATTATCATTAGCCCGAAACTACTGGATCTGCAACTAATTGGAACGTATTATAATTTGCTAGTTTTCCAGGGTACAATTAGCATCGTCACGAGCTCAGATTAGATTCTTTATCCGATGTCGGGATGTTAACAGGGTCATTCTGGAGGGCTTCTGTTCCCATATCCAATGAAAGCTAAGGAACCTTGAACTGAACTGCTGCTATTTCCTAAATTGGACGTGAATGCAATTTAAGTCAGTGTCTTGTGTCTTTTTCCACAGAAAATGCAAGACAAGGGTTTCTGCTAACGATTATCAATGATACGTGGTCAACCCCTACGCTATCCACTTTCTGCGACAAGGCATCCATTAATTTTCCCGATACACACGTGGCACAATAGATCGCTGGATGATAAGTATTCACACGATTTCATAAATACTCCATCCATCATTTATTCAGGTCGCGTTGTCATTAGCTTAACCGGCGTTAACACTGACTTACCTGATGCCTGAGTACAACTGAGATAGGTCTGGGTATTTCCATAAGATAAAGCTATTTTGGTGCCACCTATCATTACCTTTGCATACTTCCATTCCATTGTTTTTGGCACGTCAGGGTATATTTGTACGAGGTTCGCTCAATAAACTCAAACGCTGTTAGTTATTAGTTGAATTTTGATCTGAAATTTTCACTGTATAATGTTCAATATATGTGATTGATATATATTCGTATTTGAGTGCAATGACAAGAAGAAAAATTACGGCGTTCAAGTCTTGTTAAAGGCAGTGTGCGCCGTTCTTTATTAGTGATATACAGTTTTACGAGAAACAAATGCGCCAGAGAGTGGCTAAGCCAAGTAAATATTATATGAATGCACATTGGGACACTGTTCTATAAATGTGTTTATTTGAATGTGAGCATATCTTATGTATATATTTATTAATTAAGCGATTTGACTAAGAAGGGGATATGCGGGAAAATGTGTGTCTATGTGTGTGTGTGCGTCTGTGTGTGTGTGTGTGTTTTTTTTTTTTTTCGCGTGTAAGGAGCGCTAAAAGTGTTTGGCCTCCAACCATTTCTCAAAATCAGTAGTTCTATGACCAAAAATGAAAATACTGATTTTAGGATCTACATTTCCGTAAAATAACAGTATTTTCTTTTTCATTGTTAGGCTACGGACTTTTTGATGTACCTAAGTATATACACTCATCGGTATGCACATACTGAGTTAATTACGCGTAATTAACTTTCACTGATAATTCTTTCGTCTTCATTGTTGCTTTTTACCACAACATTCAAAACGTTTAGTTCTACGAGCGTGACTTTAAGCTGTGCCTACAGTAGCACTCAAGAAACAGCTTTTAATGACAGTTGCGTCCCCATAGGTTGATGTTTCTATCGATTCGACCACGAAGGATACACAGTACAAATCTAGAACTGCCTCTATTTGTGCAGTATTTTTGTTTCCTATCAAGTTGTAGACGATAAGCGAGGGCCAAACTTGCAAGAATATGGAGAAACAAAATCAGCTTTCAAACGAAGTACTGACTGTACAAATCACTAGTAGTTTCCATTCTCCTCTATGGATGTGAAACGTGGACAATTTTGGCAGAAACAGAGAGAAGGGTCCAATCGTTTGAGCACAAACGTATGAGAAAACTCCTTGGCATCTATTCGAAACATAAAACCCATGAGTTTGTGCGGAAAAGGGTTGAAAGGGTTTGTGGACCACCAGAAGCCTCTTCTCGCCAATATCAAAAGGAGAAAAATGGCATGGGTTTGAACACGTTACAAGGCACAACAGAATGTGTAAGACCCTCATGCAAGTCACCGTTGAAGGTGGACGGAGGAGTGCACGCTAACGTAAAAATTGGTTGGACAATGTCAAACTATGGACAAGTATAGTTATACCAGAATTGCTAATGAGATGATTGAAAAACCTACGGTAATAATCAGGCGAGAATATCCCACAGCACTAATAGAACATTAATACTAACGGGAACTTAGTGTCCCACAGCACTAACGGAACCTTAGCACTAACGGAACCTTAATGTCCGACAGTGCTAACGGAATCTTAACACCAACGGAAACTTAATAATCCACAACACTAACAGAATCTTAACACCAACGTAACTTTCACAACACTAACGGAACCTTAATGTCCCACAATACTAACGGAACCTTAATGTCCGACAGTGCTAACGGAACCTTAATGTCCCACAGTACTAACGGAACCTTAACACCAAGCGAACACGACACTAACGGTATGTTAATGCCCCACAACACTAATGTAATCTTAACACAAACGGAACCTTAATCTTCTAAAGCAGTAACTGAATGTTAATGAACAAAACTAATTAAAATACTTGCAGAAATGTGTTGAAAACGTCAGAGAAAGGAAACTGCAGGAAACCTTACAGAATGTACGAAAGATCTTTGAATAAAAGGACAAAATATAAATTGTAAAAAGACAAAGATGTATGGTTGTCAACATGACGAACAACGCAAGATGTGAACTACGAATTGGAGACCCCAGAATCAATAAAGTGTGAAGTACTTTAGCAGAAAATGGCAAATATGAAATCGTGATCCGAAGGCGCTTTGGAATAGCGAAAATGCCTTCTAAAGTCTAAACAATATATTAAGAAACAGGAAAATTTCCTTAGAAACAAAGAAAATGCTGAACTGTTATGCAATATCAATCTTCCGAAATAGCACCGAATGCTGGACAATCTCGTCACAGATGAAGAAACCTGAACCAACAAAAATGTGGTTCTACAGAGGGATGCTGAGAATACCATAGACGGTGTGCGTCAGCAACGAGAAGATTTTAAAGAAAATGGAAAGAGAAAGAACGTTTATACTTCGAATCAAAAAGAGATTAGTTGAAATTTCTAGGATATAATGAAGGCTTGGAGAATTTGACACACATGACAAAGAAAGAGAAACAGAGAAAAAAAGCCGAGCATGCTTGTGCAAATGGATGGCAGAAAAAGTCAGAGCTTACTACAAAGCAACAACGGATAGGATGTTATGGAGAGCTATAATCGCCTACGTCCTGAAGAGATACCGGCGCCAAGAAGAAGAAAGTTTTAGGAAAGGTAAATATTAAGACAATATCTTGTGAGGAGACGAAGTTCAGACAATTATCTAAAGTTCGACTATTTTTAGATTGTAATCGGCCTGACTTTATCGATGTTGTATATTTATCTCGTCTGCAACTTTTCATTCTTCCTGTTCAAGGTATTGTCTTATTACAGTTCAAGATTTAATTATGTGTTAACTTAGTTCTTCTCTCTATTTTTTGATACGTCGTTATATTAATTTAAAATTTCTCTTCCTTCCATAATCTTCTTAGGGTCATCTTGACAAAAGTCGAAATGTTGACAGTGCATTTCATTGTTTTATTTTAAAATCGGATTTATTGCCATTATATTTTTAAAATCGTATTGTATCCATCATTGTTTAGGTACTCAATTCTTTCATTCCTATAATCACGGGTACAATAATAATAATAATAATAATAATAATAATAATCAGTCAGTTATGTACCATACGTGATACACGCTTAGGCGATCACGTATCTTTCGATACATGACTCACGAAGCAGATTGTTTCCGGCGGTAGGTTGCCATGTTTTTCTGCGGTAGATCAGTTGCCGTCCAAGGCTACAGAAAACGGTCTGTCCTGTTATATACACATAGCTGGGGGAGAAGAAGAGGATTCATACCTTTCCCAAGGGTATTAACACGTAAGTGAATGTAATGGATTTGACTAGAATTCGAAACCGGGCCGCTATCCATTACTCCACCGAGTAATAATGATACAACCTGTTTAATCCATTTTCATATGTCGCTGCTTATATTCTAAACGTGACACTTATTTATATAAATTTCTATAAATTAATAAACGTGGCACTTATATAAATTCAAATGAACTAAATTATAGAGTAATCTTACTTGGTCCTCATATTTTCCAATGCCCCGCTTATAGCAATCCATTCTTATTCCACCTTGTATTTCACCCCAGCTTATTTGAACCCTCTTTTATTCCACTTAATCTTACTCGCCAAATCACTCTTATTTCAACCCCGTTTATTCCAAACCACTTATTGTACACTCCGATTATTCCAAACCATTAATTTCACTTATCCCACCCACGCTTTCGTCTA